AAGGAAAAAGCTATGACCCTCAGCAAGGCAAAGCAAGCCTTGGTCGATGTCATGAACAAAACCAAGGAGCTCAAGGAAGAAGCCAAAGAACTCAACCAGCTGGCAAACAAGGCTTCCAGCAAAGCCTCCAAGAGGTGATGCAGCTACAATATTTCCTTGTTAAAAGGAAATTTGTAAGCACTTTTTGTTCCAGCAACAGGCTCTTCCTTGCTAAAAGGAAACAGCCTTGTAGATAGTGTGGGCATGGGATCTCCTTGTTAAAAGGGTGACCAGGCTTTGGACACACAGCACTACAGCAACAAAGAATGGGGAAAACAATTGCTGTGCTGGGGGGGGGGCTGTGAGGGAAAGCAGCTGGGAACCACCAGAAACCAAGGGGTTGTGGTTGCTGTTTGTTGTTTGTGTGTTCAGGGTAATGACACAACTTGTTTGCTTGTGTTTGGCCCAAGCTTTTGAAGCCTTGCTAAAAGGTGCCTTGCCTTGCTAAAAGGTGTATGCACCATGGAGAGGCCACCAAAAAAACTCAGGGGTTGGAAGGCAGAGATGGCTCTAGCAAGTGGTGAGGAGCAGAGTTGTCCATCATCATCATCCTCATCATCGACCAGCCCCTTGTGCACCAGATTGCTTGAACTATGGTCTTTGGGTCGGCTTTCTGCCACACAAGTGGCAGAGATTGGCCATCTTGCTATGCTAGAAGGCTGCACTTCAGTTGACATTGTCAAATTAGCAAGCTGTGGAAACTTTGGGCAGCAGAAAGGGAATGCCCACAGGGACTTAATGTCAAAATTTTGTAAAGGCATCCAGCTCTGTGAACCAATCCCAATCCAGGTGGATGTCTTGGATCCCAACACCAGGAAATCTTCAAAAGAAGATGCTTGCCTGTTCCTTCCACACCTGGTCTTCAGCTCCCTCTACACCCACTATCCAGAACAATTTGAGAGGCTGTTTTGCTTCAAAGAAGCTCAAGCCTTCTGGAAAGGGGTGGAAAAGTCCAAGGACCCCAGACTCCTTCCTCCTCTAGCCCTTGGTAAAAGGGTGGTGCAACCTGCACTCACATGCCCCATCTATGTGCATGGGGATGGAGTTGAATTCCAGAGCAGGGATAGCTTGATGACTTGGTCATGGGGGTCAATGTTGAGCAAAGCATCAGCACTGCATCAGCATATTCTTTGTGACAGCCTTTGCAAAAACAGTCACTGTTGGTTCAACTTGGACTCCACTCAATGATTGGATCTCTTGGAGCTTTGATGCCTTGATAAAAGGCAAGCATCCATCCCAGGACCCTTATGGATCTGCATTGCCACAGCATTTGGAAGCATTGGCTGGCCAGCCTTTAACACCTGCACACCACAGAGCATTCATATTTGCTACCCAAGGGGACTTGGAGTTTTGTAGCAACAACCTGGGGATGCCTCACTGGCAGAACAAGTATCCATGTGCTGAATGCGATGCACAAAGACCAACTTTCAAAGGCATCAAATGCACTGAAGGCAAGTCAGTGAAGGAGCTTATTCCAGAGCATCAAGACTTTGTTTATGTCACTCCTGAGCAAGCCCTCCTTGATAAAAGGAGTGGTTTGCATCCCCTTTTTGATGTGCAGGGAATCAGCACTGCACTGGTGAGGGGGGATTCACTTCACATTGTACATTCAAGAGGGGTGGCATCACACCTTGCAGGATCTCTCTTGCACTACCTGTGCTTTTTCGATGGAGTTGGAGCAAGACAAAAAATTGCACCAGCACAAAGGCTCCAAAGAATATTTGCCAGAATCAAGGAGCTTTATAAAGAACATGGGGTTACCTCAAGGTTGAATAACTTGCGATTGTCAATGATCTGTGATGCTTCTAAACCACATGCCCAGCATGCCTGCCTTGAAGCCAAGGCTGGAGAGACCAAGCATTTCCTACCTCCACTCCTCCAGGTTGTCAGGGAGGCTTTAGATGATGAAGAGCCTATTCACCAAACTATGATCAGTTGCCTGGAGGCAATGGTCAAGATTGATGCTCACTATGATTCCATTGGGATCTTTCCAACTTCTTCAGAGTTTGAGGAGGCTTGCAACCTTGCTAAAAGGTTTTTCTCCACTTATGCTGACCTCCACCAGTGGGCCTTGCTAAAAGGCAGGAAGATTTTCCACATTACCCACAAATTTCACAGCTACATGCATCTCATCCACAACAGTCAATATCTCAATTACAGGATTCACCACAATTATCGAGCTGAGCATTTTGTGGGCCAGCTGAGTGTCCTGGCCCATTCAATTTCTTTTGGTGTGAAGACATCCAAGGTATGTGTCAAGATGGGTGCCAAGTACAGAGTCTTGATGCACATGCAGCTGAGTCATCCTGGCTTTGGGAAGGTGGAAGAGAACACCTCTGACCCTTGATAAAAGGGTGACACCTACCTTTTAAAAGTGTTGTACTCCTGTCCCTTGCTGAAAGGGACAGGAAAGCAGCTTTGTTTCCACTCAGAAAAAAGGTGTATGAGAGAACACCTTTAAAAGGTGTAGTACTCCTGTCCCTTGCTGAAAGGGACAGGAAAGCAGCTTAAGTTTCCACCCAGAAAAACGGCTGTGCAGCTGTCACTTCCTATTGATTTTCCTTTTGATTTGGCATGCCAAACCAGGGTCTGATTTTATTGATTTAATTGATACCTTTTTTTTGATTTTAATACGATCAAAATCAAATATGTTCTATTGAAAAAATCAATATCAATAGAGATTTGACCTTATTGATTTAAATCAATAGCCGATGCTCAGGGTACCTTGAATTTCTTTGGGCAGCAGGTGAAAGCAAGTCTGTCGCGAACAATACTCTGGCCGCTCTCCAGGACAAAGAACCAGGGTTGAAGAGACGCCTCACGGGCAGTTGGCGCCTTTTAAAGGCTTGGTCAACTGCTGAGATCCCAAGCCGGGCTCCCCCCATGACTTTGACGGTTCTTGACGCCCTTTGTGGATGGTTTGTGATGAAAGAGCTCCCACTCATGGCCTTGTCTTTGCGAGTGGCCTTCTTTTTGCTACTCCGTACGGGCGAGCTGCTCAGCCTGCGTGCTCGGGATGTTTTCCTGCCTTCCCCAAAGGGCCCCGCGGTGCTTTCTTTAGGCCTCACAAAAGCTGGTGCACGACAGGGAGCAGCGGAGAGTGTAACAGTGCATGAGGACTCTGTACTGCCAAGTCTCTACCGTTGGAAGCAGACTGCACGTCCCTCTGAATTTTTAACTCCGAAACCGCATCAGTGGCGTACTTGGTTCACGAAAGCCATAGAAGGGCTGCGACTGACTGGTTTGGAGTTTCGCCCCTACAGCCTCAGGCGAGGCGGGGCCACGTTTTTCTTCAACCACCACGGATCCTTCGACCACTTGTTGGTCCAAGGACGTTGGGCAGCCGCGAAAACTGCACGTATATACTTGAACGACGGGCTGGCCCAGCTTTCGGAAATGACACTTCCTAATTCAGGTTTGCGTGGCTACATTCGTCTTTTTCGATCGTGCCCAATACTTGAGCCTGGGAAGTCTTGTACACTTCCCAGGGCAGGGGGGCGTGGAAAGAAGCGAAAAGCTGGAAAATGAGAGTACGGTGTCTTGCACGTTTTCTCCAAAAAACCCACAAGATGGAGTTATCTTGTAGGGTCCTCTCAAAAACACTTGAGCTCGGATATGCTCCGGTTTGGCGGTAGCGTATCTGGGGGGTGTAGGGGGGCCCCCCATCACTTCTGGTTTGGCGGA